ATTTAGATTTGAATTTTTCAACCTTAGGCATGTGCTTGAAGGAGCCTGCTGGTACCTACATAAAAGGAAACACGTTTCTATATCATGCATAGCATGTTTCTGTCATGCTTTCAACCTTAGGCATGTGCTTGAAGGAGCCTGCTGGTACATATATAAAAGGAAACACGTTTCATGTCATGAATAGCATCATGATGCTAGCTGGTTATTTTGCACATTAGTTGATGCGGTTTCTTTATAGTGTCATTGGTCTTTATATTTTCATGAGTTTTTTTTTTCCAGTGGCTGGTACTGGTTTCCTTTCCATATTTAGGGCTTCCTTCTGAAGCTTTGTGAGGTGATGACAAAATCTCTCAACATTTGCTTGTCTATAAAGGATTTCTCCTTTACTTATGAAACTTAGTTTGGCTGGATATGAAATTCTGGGTTGAAAATTCATTTCTTTAAGAATATTGAATATTGGCCCCCAATCTCTTCTGGCTTGTAGGGTTTCTGCAGAGAGATCCACTGCTAGTCTGATGGCTTTCCTTTGTAGGTAAACTGACCTTGCTCTGTGGTTACCCTTAACGTATTTTCCTTCGTTTCCACCTTGGAGTATCTGACAATTATGTGTCTTGGCATTGCCCTTCTTGAAGAGTATCTTTGTGCTGTTCTCTGTATTTCTTTTTTTTTTTTTTTTTTTTTTTTGAGACGGAGTTTCGCTCTTGTTACCCAGGCTGGAGTGCAATGGCGCGATCTCGGCTCACCGCAACCTCCGCCTCCTGGGTTCAGGCAATTCTCCTGCCTCAGCCTCCTGAGTAGCTGGGATTACAGGCACGCGCCACCATGCCCAGCTAATTTTTTGTATTTTAGTAGAGACGGGGTTTCACCATGTTGACCAGGTTGGTCTCGATCTCTCGACCTCGTGATCCACCCCGCCTCGGCCTCCCAAAGTGCTGGGATTACAGGCTTGAGCCACTGCGCCCGGCCTGTTCTCTGTATTTCTTGAATTTGAATGTTGGCCTGTCTTGTTAGGTTGGGGTAGTTCTGGATAATATTCTGAAGTGTGTTTTCCAAATTGGTTACATTCTGTCTGTCACTTTCAGGGACCTCAATCAATTGTAGGTTTGGTCTTTTCACATAGTCCCATATTTCTTGAAGTCTTTGTTCATTCCTTTTAAATTTTTTTCAGACTTGTCTTCATGCCTCATTTTAGTAAGTTGATCTTCAATCTCTGATATCTTTTCTTCCACTTATCAATTCAGTTAGCAATACTTGTGTGTGCTTCCTGAAGTTCTCGTGCTGTTTTTCAGCTCCCTCAGGTCATTTATGTTCTTCTCTAAACTGGCTATTCTAGTTAGCAGTTTATGTAACCTTTTGTCAACCTTCTTAGCTTTTTTGCATTGGGCTAGAACATGCTCCTTTAGCTCAGAGGAGTTTGTTATTACCCAGCTTCTAAGCCTACTTCTGTCAATTTGTCAAACTCATTCTCTGTCCAGTTTTGTGCCCTTGCTGAAGAGGATTTGGGATTATTTGAAGAGGCATTCTTGTTTTTAGAATTTTTAGCCTTTTTGCACTGGGATTTTTCATCTTCTTGGATTTACCTACCTTTGATCTTTGAGGTTGATGACCCTTGGATGGAGTTTCTGTGTAGGAGTTTCTTTTGTTGATGTTGATGTTATTGCTTTCTGATTGGTAGTTTTTCTTCTTACAGGCCCTTTTTCTGCAGATCTGCTGCAGTTTGCAGCAGGTTGACTGCAGACCCTATTTGCTGGATATCACCAGTAGAGGCTGCAGAACAGCAAAGACTGCTGCCTTTTCCTTCCTCTGGAAGCTTCATCCCAGAGGGGCACCAAGTTGATACAGCTGGAGCTCTCCTATATCAGATGTCTGTTAACCCCAGTTGGGAGGTCTCTCCCAGGCAGGAGGCACAGGGGTCAGGGACACACTTGAGGAGGCAATCTGTTCCTTAGAGTTCGAGTGCTGTGCTGGTCGAACCCTCCTTGTCAGGAACCATTGCTCTCTTCAGAGCTGGCAGGCAGAAATGTTTAATTCCACTGAAGCTACACCCATAGCCACCCCTTCCCCCAGGTGCTCTGTCCCAGTGAGATGGAAGTTTTATCTATAAGCCCCTGACTGGGGCTGCTGCCTTTCTTTCAGAGATGGCCTGTCCAGTGAAGAGGAATCTACAGAAGCAGTCTGGCCACAGCTACTTTGCTGCACTGTGTTGAATTCCACCCAGTCTGAACTTCCAGGCCTTTTTAAGGCTGTGAGGGAAAAACCACCTATTCAAGCCTCAGTAATGGTAGACGCCCCTTCCCACCACTGAGTTCAATCCTCCCAGGTCCACTTAGACTATTGGGCTGGTGAGGGAATGTATTCTTTTTCTGGGTTCATGAGGTGGTGTAGTTTTAAGGGCAAAAATTTCCTAGTGCCATGCCCTCCCATCTCTCTCCATCCGGGAGATTTAACGGTTTATGTTTGAATTTCGTGGGCACAGGAAGAGTTAGTCACCCCAACGGAAGTTTAAAGGAACTACTTTCATTGGCCAGAGGAATTTGGGAAGGTGAGAATTTCTCCCAGGATAAATTCCCCTGCTCCTTCACCCACGCCGGATTTCCAGCTCTCTGGAATCCCTTCCCACATAGTGGGAGTTCCCTTTCCTCTCTGGGATTTCCCTTCTGGAATCCCCTTCCACACTCTTCATGGAAGTCTTTCTCTTCTTCTCTTTCCTCTACCTAAGTAAAATCACCTTTCTGTAACACTTCTTGGGTCCGCTATTTACTGTTACGAGTGTATGGAGCAACTGCAGTGGTCTCATCACTTATTCTTTGAAAGATTGGAGACCAAGAACCCACAGCATTCTCTTGGGGGAGCTGTGCCTCACCAGCACCCAAGAAAAAACCCAGTTACATTGGCAGTGAGAATTTCAGGCCAGTGGTTCTTAGCTTGCTGGGCTCTGTGGGAGTGGATCTGCTGCGTGAAACCACTTTGCTCCCTGGCTTCAGCTCCCTTTCCAGTGGAGAGAACAGTTCTGTCTGGATAGGGTTCCAGGAGCCACTGGGGTATGAAAAACAAAACCAAAAAACAAAACTCCTGCAGCTAGCTTGGTGTCTGCGCAAACAGCCTCCCAGTTTTGTGCTTGAAACCCAGGGTCCTGGTGGTGTAGGCACACGAGGGAATCTCTTGGTCTGCAGATTGCAAAAAGCATGGGAGAAGTGTAGTATCTGGGCTGGAGAGCACAGTCCCTCACAGCTTCAGCTGGCTAAGAAAGGGAGGCTTCCCTGCTCTTTGCACTTCCGGTGTGAGGCAATACCCCACGCTGCTTCTGCTCGCCCTCTGTCGACTTCCTAACCCACTGCCTAACCAGACCCAATGAAATGAACAGGGTACCTCAGTTGGAAATGCAGAAATTACCTACCCACCTTCTGTGTTGGTTTCACTGGAGGCTGCAGACTGGAGATATTCCTATTTGGCCATCTTGCCAGTCAATCCTAAAAGCAATTTTTTAAGGCTCCCTCATATGAGAATATGTGTTAATTTCTATGCCTGGGTTGTTTCACTTAACATCATAATATCGTCCAGCTGCATGTTGCAAATGAGAGGATTTCATTCTTTTAAAGGCTGAAGATGCCATGATGTACATACACATTTTCTTTATCCATTTGTTCATGTATGGACACTCAGGTTGATTACACATCTTGGCTATTGTGAATACTGCTGCAATGAATATGGCAGTGCAGGTATCTTGAAATATTGATCTCACCTTTGGGTATACAACCAGCAGTGAGAATCCAGATTACACAGTTCTACTCTTCATTTTTTGAGGAGCCTCCATACTGTTCACCTTAGTGGCTATAGTAATTTACATTCCCACCAACAGTGTACAAGTGTTTCCCTTTCTCCATATCCTCACCAGCATCCATGACTGCCTGTCTTTTGGATAAAAGCCACTTAAACTGGAGTGTGAGATCTCAAATGCTTTGATTTGCATTACTCCGGTGATTAGTGTTGAGCATTTGTTCATATACCTGTTACCCATTTTGATGTCTTCTTGTAAGAAATGTCTATTCAGATCTTTTGCCTATTTTTAATTGGATTTTTTTTGGCTATTAAGCTCTTTATATAGTTTTTACTACCTTGACAGTTGGGTAGTTTGCAAACATTTTCGTCCATTCTGTAGTGTATTTCTTCACTTTGTTTCCTCTGCTGTGCAGCAGCTTTTTAGCTTGATGTGATCCCATTTGCTCATTATCACTTTGGTTGTCTTTGAGGTCTTACTCTTAAGAAATCTTTGTCCAGCCCAAGCTTTTATAGAACAGATTGTCCTTTCCTGAATGCATGTTCTTAGTGCCTTTGTTGAGTTGACTGCTAGTAAATACAGGAACTTACTTCTGTGTTCTCTATTCTATTCCATTGGTCTGTGTCTTGTTTTTATGCGTCTATCAGGCTGTTTTGGTTACTACAGCTTTGTCATATACAATTTGAGGCCAAGTAATGTGATGTCTCCAGCTTTGCTATTTTTGCTCAGGATGGCTTTGGCTACTCTGGGTCTTTTGGGGTTCCATACAAATTTTAGAATTTTCTTTCCTATTTCAGTGAAGAATGTCACTTGGAAAAACTGGGGCAGGAAAGGAGGAACAGTATGTTTTATAGATCTAGATTCAAGAACTAGGAACAAATAGCATGTTGTAAGATAGTTACAAAACAAATAGAGCTATCTCAAAATCAATAGGACATCCTTTGTGTCTATCACTAGAAGTAATCAACCTTAGATTCATGTGTATCAGCTATGATGACAGAAGGAACTATGGGAGTTGATTTATAAGGATACCTCTTAAGATTTTACTCACATGTTTTATCTTTCATTCATTAATATTAAATAAGAAAACATAGGTAAAACTAGTATCTGGTATCAAATTTTTACTTTCCATTATTTCTAGAAATTCAATTTTAAAAAACTTCAAGATTTAAATTCAAATCTGAAAATCTGTCTTACCCCCTTGAGTCAGCAAGAAAGTGACTGAAGAACAGGAACTTTATTAGTCTTTTATGAGTTTTGTGTTATTCCAATATTGTAAATAGTAGTCATTCAATACGTGAATGAAAGGTTATACAAACTGAAGTTTATACTTAAATTTCTACGGTTTCTGACATTGCCAAATTGCCCCCTAAAGTGAAGCACCAACTCATATTCTATTCACCAAAATATGACAGGATTTCCCCACAACACCCCAAATACCAAGATGTACATTATTTTTATTGTTGATAAATGTTAATCAGCATTTTTTATTTGCATTTTTTGTAAACAGTGGGGTTCAAGATGTTTCATATTTTATTGGCTATTTGTATTTTTTTGTGAATCGAAATTTGGCATGTTTTGCCTATTTTTCAGTTGGTCTTTTCTTACCAATTGAAATCTCCATATATTTAAGACATTAAAAGCCCTGTTATATGTTGCAAATATTTTCCATTACCTTTTGCCATATAAAAATTATTAAACTATACAAAATTTCCTTTGTTTTTAGCTGTGTTATTTTGCTAATCACAATTTCATTCACTCAATGTTATAATACTAATTATATTATGTATAATGAAATGTACTAAGTATTTGTGTGTGGGTACCAAATAAAAACCAGAATAACTAGACATGTGGTTCTGAAGCAATATGCAGTAAGTGTTGTAATAGTGGCAGTTTGCTCTGTTTGTATGAGAGAAAGGGTATCTTTTCCTAGAATGATTCAGATAGCCTTTAAAAAGTCAAAGTCTAAATCAGGCCTTGAAGAGTTAGGATTTGAAGGGGTGAAGGTGTAAGTAAATTGCACAAGCAGAAATAGAAAACAGAAAACACAAGGCATCTTCAAATAGTGAATAATCCAGTATGGGTTAAATAGTATTGTAGGGAAACTGTATAAATATGGTTTGAACTATATTCAAATAGTATTTGCTGAATTATTTTCTGAATACTTTTCATCATGTGGCCTGTAGCTGGCTTCCTTAGTGCCAAATGTTTATTTGGCATATTATAATCCTCGGAAAATGAAGGATCATGAAGAAACTGCATAAGATTTTTATTTTCACGCTCCTTCAACACCTAAGGCTTTCCCACTTTGTGTTACAACGCAATTGGTTGACTAATATTATATGATCTGAGGACTAGACTGTACTTCTAGTAGCTATTTAAGGCCTCTTTAGGACTGAAACTTATAGAAATCAGATTCTAGGAATTATCCAATCTCATTTTGATTTCAGATAAAACATTAATTTACTTTATTCCTTAAATATGATGAATTATGAAGTGTTTGGCATAAATATTGTAATATCATATACCTATGTGCCATGGGTCATCTATGCAGTTAGCAAGACAATATTGACACCTAACCTATTTAGTCACAAACAAGGAAAACTTAAAATATCACCTGAATGTTCAATCTTTCCCCCAAGTTTAATTAGACTTGAGAGTTTAAAAATAAATTGTGTTTTAGGTTCCAGTCTCCTAATAACTTATCAGATCCAGGCTTAATTATTGTTTAATGTTGCAAATTTAGCACAGAATGATTCTTTGGAGTAAAAATCAAGAAATAATTAAATATGATTTGAAAAAGTAAAGTTCAGACCAGGCATGGTGGCTCATGCCTGTAATCCCAGCACTTTGGGAGGCCACGGCAGGTGGATCACCTGAGGTCAGAAGTTCGAGACCAGGCTGGCCAACATGGTGAAACTCCATCTCTATTAAAAATAACAAAACATCAGCCAAGCGTGGTGGCAGGAGACTGTAATCTCAGCTACTGGGGAGGCGGAGGCAGAACTGCTAGAACCCAAGAGGCGGAAGCTGCAATGAGCCGAGATTGCACCATTGCACTCCAGCTTGGGCAACAAAAGTGAAACTCCGTCACTCTCACTCACACACACACACACTGCAAAGTCCTATGTATTCTTCAGAGTTGTTAGGAAAGAATACAAGGCTAGCTACATATTAAGCTAACCTTAAATTTAACAAACTATTAAGTTATTTAGGTTAAAAGAGTAATTAAATTGATGCTACAAATTCAACCAGCATTTTTTATTTTTGAGGTCTATCATCTGAAACCTCAGTGGCAAACATAATACACAAATTCAACCTATTTTTGCTCTTTGTTGAATATGCAAATATAAATATATTCACTTCCTTTAGTAAACTGGACAAAACTAGAGGACAGACCTTTTCCAAACTCAACTTAAATGATATAAATACTTGGAATTCTACTACATATAAATACTTGGAATTCTACTACATACCATTTGAGATTCTGTTTTGAAATTCCATTCACATTCCATTCAACTTACTAGAATGCCTTTTTTTATTTCCTTTTAAGATGGGGTCTCATTCTGTTGCCCAGCAGGGATGCATTGGTACAATCATGGCTCACTATACCCTTGAATCCTGGGCTCAGGGGATCCTCTTGCCTCTGCAGCCTAATAATGATTTTCATTTTTATTTTTGGAGAAATGGGGGTCTTGCCTTGTTACCCAGTCTGGTCTCAAACTCATGGCTTCACAGAATCCCCACACTTTGCTAGACCTTCCAAAGTGCTGGGATTACAGCTGTAAGCCACCATGCCTGATCTGGATGCTTTCTAAAAATATGGCATTACAAATACAGAAGGAAGAAAAAAAAAGTTAAATCTCACTTCAAGAAATTATCGGTCTAATAGCATCAGTAAAAATGGTACTTTTAGTCATGGCATAAAATAGACATTAAGGCTACTTTTCAATTGTATGCTTTCAAGTTGGAAAATGCATTTTGAAACATTCAAAAAGATGTTACTGAGTTTACTCATCAAGTGCTTTTGACACTATAAATGATAGAGTAACACCACAGTTACATCACTGGGACTCAAGAATCTTTAAATGATAGGGCTGAAAATAGATATATGACTTATTTGTCCAGAATTTACGTTTCTGTATCCCCCCCAAAAAATTGAACTATGCATATTGTCTAAAATTATAGACTTTCAATCTATCAAACATGCTTGTTTTCCTGGCTAGATATTAGCTAAAAATTAGCAAAAGCAGCCATTTCCCATTATTCCCCAGCAAAGATGTGAAACCAAAGTGCCTAACCTTTTTCCGCCTGGTGGGCTGCCCTCTACTGGACTATTTGAGGTATTCAGCCAGCAGGTCAATGTGACCGTTTAAGAAGGTAACCACCATAGACATAAATGTAAACATTAAAGAAAAAGGAACTCTAGTAAATTAACTTTTACCATGAAAACAACTTCAGTCATTCTGAGAACTGGTAATGAAGACATTTACACAATCTTTGTCTCCATTTCAACCTTAAAGGCAGATCTCCAGCAATAATTGTAACAGGTAGGAGCAATGGGTATACTGTAACAACCATCTTTTATGATGTTTTATATATTAAAACAAATCATATTTTTGTGAGTCCTTTCATGCTATGGATGTTTTCTTATGCACAGAGTAGACACATACTGAATAGATGACATCTGTTAAGTCTCTTGCCACAAGCATCAAAACTTTTCAGAGCTGTCTCTTCTGTGAAAATCTATCTCATGTAGTACACGTTGATTTTCTCTGTGGTTCATCCCCATGCCTGGGATTTGCAGTAATGTAGAACCAATTTACCATCACTGCCAAAACACTACAAAAAGAAAAAAAGGCAATAAATCAAACTCAATCTTTATTATTCTTAGATGAAACTAAGAAAATAAATGCTACCTGTATCACAAATATCCACACATGTATATTAAATTACCTGTTACAGGCTATCTCTTTTAAAGGATGCCTGTTTATATCAGACACATATTAATAATCCTAAGTGTTTAATAAAATCTATCCTTTAAGCATCTTAGGCATGAATGAGCTTACATTCTTTAATCTTGTCCTTCTCTACATCTCCAACCATAATGTATGTAATTTCAGCTGTTTTCTAGTAGTGGTGCTAGTATATGTACTCTAATGACTATTGCCATGAAACTGTAAGATGTTGAAAAGGTCACTGTCATGCTGTTTTTTCAATTTCTTGTAAGCAGATTTGGATGACATTATAAGAACAATGTAGACAAAATCCAATGTAGATAAAGAAAAAGCCTTACTTTCTAAGAATTACAAAGATGACTTTGAAGTATCATTTATTCCTTGGTTCTTCAATTATCGTATTATTTATTAAGATCCTACTATGATCAAGATGTTAGAGAGGTAAGAGAACAAGAAAGTCATCTTTTCTATCCCAGACAATGAAGAATGGCATGCCATCACTTGAAATACAAATGTGAATTAACAATACTACACAATATATATATTATATAGATGTGCATACTCCATTAAGGAAAAAAATAGTAATTTCTTTTTGTTTTTTTACCTCATAGAGAGTTCCAACTTCTTGGTCTGGGGAAGGAGCAAAGGACTGATTCACATAAATAAACTACAAGAAAGTGGAGAAAAACAGAGATGTTTATTGGTATCCTGATTAATCTGCATTTTTCTGGGTTCCAATCAGCTAGCTATTTTGTATCATTTTCACAATTGAAGAAATATTCTCTGAATTCCTAACTTTTCTAAAATAGTCAATTTAAAGAGATGAAGATCTCATTTTTCCTCCAGAGGAACAAAAATAACACAATTTAAGTTCCTAGAAGAGTGGTTCCCAACTTTTCAAAACTAAGAAACATTTAAATATTTTTTAATAAATGGCTACGGAAGGGCTGGTTATTCAAGAAATTACATTATAAAATTTTCCCCACTTAAACCCATAAAGAACTTTTCCTAAGAAAATTTCACACACAGCCAAAAATCAATATATTTAATATTCAAGATAGTTTGTGCATTTTCTTTGGGTAAATGTCACTTTCAGGTAAATGAAGCAGGAAAAAAAGTAACATAATTAAAACCTTATAACCTGGCTCTTTAAAGGATTCACTGTTCAATGTTTCAGTCTGTTTTTACTAAAATATTTCTAGTACTTCAAGTCATAGTGTCAAAGTGTCTTCTAATAATTTTCTTTTTGGAAAACATTATTTGCTTTAATATCCAAATTTGGGACTAAAATGTCCTGAATTTAACATAGTATTTTTTTTTAAGCCAGTATCAGAATAGTTGGTTGACAAGATATTATTTTGGTCACCAACCATGAACAATCAATACCGCTTGCATCTCTCTTAGGCAACACAGTGTGGTGATTAAGTATATAGGCTCTACTGAGACATATCTGGGTTTGAATCCTGGCTGTAAGTGCAAATGATATCTCTCATCCTGTTTCCTTATTTGTAAGATATGGAAAATAATAGGACCTATACCTCTTGGGTCTGTTAGGAAAGACAAAATGAGATAATAAAACACCAAGTATCAGTCTCTGGTATGTGTACTCAATAGATGTTATTATTGTTAAATGATCTTTAAATAGTTATAGTAAAATATCAATTTGTGCTTAAGGCAGAGTAGAGTTCTAACACAAAAATTTCAGAACTGTTAACAGAAAACAATGAATTTTAATGTGTATTTTTTGTAATACAGATAGAATTTGTGTTCAATGCCTGGCAATTTATGAGCAAATACAGATTTTACTTTTTGTACATTAAAAATGAGGGGAAGGGCTCTCAGTAACAGCTTAGCTTATTTCATGAGTGTCTATGATGTGCTGAGAACGGCACATGGAACTATGAAGATTAATGTGATCTCTAACCCTCAATGAGCTTTCAATCTATAGGACAGGCAGACACACATGAATAAATACAGGTGACGAAAGTACATCTAATAAAGTACGTAGCATACAGAAATGAACACTAGTCCAGCCTAACAAAAGGGTCAAGAAATGCTTTGTGGGAAAAAAGAAGTAGGATTTAACCAGGTGAAGAAAGTAGTAATTAGGACATCTTAGGCAAAGGAGACAGTAAGATGGTGTTGAGTGTTCACAGAAACAAACTAGATGGAGCAGAGAACCAACCAAAGGAATTCAATATAATTTTGTAACAGGTGTTAACTGGAAATTTTAAAAAAGCAATTCAGTTTAAAAGAGATAAAGCCATGTGTTTGTATATTATAAAGTTCTATACTAACAACAAGTTAACATCATCAATTTCACTGTAGAAACTAAGTGGCTTAAAATTAGTTACTTTTAAAGTAGATGTAGTTATTCCAGGTTTGTGAAAGTAAAATTCCATAGAAGTTGTATTTCTAAACTACAAGAACCTGGGCAGAAAAAATTATTTAATTAAATAATTACATATTGCTTTTAAATCAGTTTTTTTTCTTTTTTAAATCAGCAGTCTTTAATGTCTCTATAGTTTTTTTGGTTATAAAGCTCTTTGTCTAGTAGGTTCCTCATGAAGGGTTCATTGGAACAGTATTTCCTGCTAACAGTTTGTGCCCTGATTAAGTCAGTTATGCAGGATATGAAATACTTATCTCACACATTTTCCTTAAGTATTTTTGTTTTCAAAGTTTGATGATAGCCTAATTTTCTAAGTCAAGCCATCTTCACGGCCCCCCTACATTTCCAAATGATTTCAAGTCCAGTAATTTTAAAGGAATTCATCCTGATGTTCATTATTCCTGGTTGATATTCTCAGGTACTTGGAATGTTTTTTCAATATTTAGTTTCAAGTCTTTTATCTTAAATTATATTTTTACAGTATTTGTTCTGTTTCCTTGCTCTGGTTTTCTTCTTCATGGACGCTTGTCCAAAGGTTGACTCTTCTTTTAAATTTTTTTCATCTTCTATTTTTCTTAACCCATTAGCTGTTGTTTATGTTCCCCCTAGTTTAGTTTCCATTTATGAAGTAATTTTTCTTCTATTTCTAATTCTTTTCCTGAGCTCTGTCACTTCATTTCTTAGTTTTACTAATGCTGATTCTGTTTTTCTTTCATATTTTATACCATCTTCTTGTTTGTAGCTTCTTTGAAATGCAAGGTTACGGTTTTCGCCTTTACAGGCATATTTTTGTCTTGATTTCATTGTCTCTAGGTATGTTGTTCTATTCCACATCTCTTTTTTCTTGTAACACTGTACAGATTTGACCTTGATACTTCCTGTTACTGTTTTTATGTGAGATTAGTTCTCCTCAACTTTTAGAATGAGGTGAATTAGGGTAGTTTTTCTAACTTCACAGAACTCCCTCTGTTGTTTTTTGTATACTGTTCAAAATGATGAGGGCTGGCTTTGAGCTTTCCAGGCTCTGTTCCCCTCCACTTTGATCTGGTCTCTTTCCTTCCTTTCTCATGTCTCAACCCTTTTCAATTTTCATTTCCTGAAATTTCTCCTGAGTATGGGGTCCCAGAGCCCTCCTGGGTCTATTTTGACATTGCCTGATCCCCTTTAAGTCCTCCTTAGTGCAGATCTATTGTCATCATGTGCTAACGGGCAAAACCCCTCTCAGTCGGCTTCTATTTTTAAATTAGCCCACTTTGCTTCCCAGTGAGGATCTATTAACTCTTCTGAGGTTCTCCTTTTCTCAGTGCTGTCAGATGCCAACCATGTACTTACTGCTTCTTTTAGCACAGATGCTGATACCAAGCAGGTCCTGTGGTTGCTGGTGGTTTATCCCCACCAACATGTTTTGGGGTTCATGAGGATACCTTATCACCTCATTTTGTTATAAATACTAATCATGGGTTTTTGGTTTTGCTATCTAGTTAACTAAGTTTTGTGGGAATTTCTATGCCTTTTGATACCACTGCTATCTTCCCAGAATTCCCAGCATTACTTTTTTCCTTTAACATCCATTAAGCTAGATAAAACTCAGAAGATGACAGTTTTATATTAATCTAGGAAAATGACAAAATAAATCTTGTTTATGTTTCCCATTGCTTAAATGGGAAAGCATAATCATATTCATTACAGAGGCTTTTATTTTACCCATATAAAATTTTCATAGGTTAAAATGGTTGAATGATGGCAATTTTATATGGTTTAACCTACTACGTACTGGTATCAATCAAGTCCTTTCAGATTATTGAATGAATATAGGCAATACAAAATTTCAAGACTCTTAATATTAACACAGTATCATTTCTTCTTTTATCTTCACGTATTTCTAAACTAATGCATTAAATTACTCATTACTCTTATTTTACCAACTCTTCATGTTGCGTCTTTAGTAGAGACATAGCTTCTGCTCATTTCTCTCAAGTGTAGGTCCTCATTCCCGACTTTTCCATTTAGCTTCCAACTCTAGACAATGTCCTCTGTTTGGGAGTATAGCAACTATACGCACTTGGATGACACTAAAACTTCTTGCTCATCTCTGATAGCCGCCCCTTAAATTAAATTCTACACGGCACTCTTATATAACAGATGCTTTTCTCACTCTGATTGGTCACCAAGGGAGACACTCACCTGTAAAACTCAATTATTCCCAATTACTTTTCCCAAACAACTTTCCTTGGAGAAATCCCTGGCTTTATGCCATTCTTATCTCAAATAAATTCTAGTTATACACCTACCTTGCATTTACTTTTTAAATATGAAGTCCCTTTTGTGAGAGCACTTACAGCCAAACTCTTAGATCAGAGTCAGCTTTTTGCTCCTCATTGACAAAAAGAAAATCCAAAATGTCCTGCTTCAATGATAGTTAACTTGTTTTACCCATTCACAAACCAAGTATTTCCCCCTAGCACCCCCACACAAAAATTCCTGATTTTATTTAAAAAATACTTAGTGATTCTTCAGCTACCTATCCACTCATGTTCTGAGTTAACACTATCCACGATTGTGATCTATTTGCAGATAAAGGTGTCTGATACATTTAAAAATATGAATATATAAAACAGCATGCTGAATACATGTAGACATCTAAATTTCTGTAGTCAAATGTCAAATTAAAATGCAGTGGCATTTAAAGTATTAACCTTTACAACTGCCAACGTGAAGTGCTTAATGTGTACTGTAACATGAATAAGTATATCTCTTAGTTCTTTCACAATATATGGCAAAGATACATTGCTTACCTCAAGAAAAATAGGAAAAATGTAATTGCTATCAAAACAAATTGGAAAAACCCAAAACTTTCTAGTCATGTACAGATAATGTAATGTTCTATGACAGATTTTTCTGCACAGGTATTCAGTGACTTTCTGAGGAAAACAATACAGGAGGCAAAAAAGAAAAAACAAAAAAAACCACACACAAACTGGTTCACAGTGTAAAAAAAAAAACCTAAAACATTTCATTTAAGAATTCCCCAGAAAATCCTTTGATAATGTACGTAAATTTCACCAACAAGAGATAAAGTAGGGCATGGTAGCATACTCATGTAATCCCACCACTTCTGAGGTGGGCAGATACCTTGGGCTCAGGAGCTCAAGACTAGCCTGGGCAGCATGATGAAACCCAGTCTCTACTAAAAACATAAAAATTAGCCAGGCGTGGTGGTGCACTCCTGTAATCCCAGCTGCTTGGGTGGCTGAAGCAGGAGAATCACTTGGACCAGGAGGAGGAGGTTGCAATGAGCCACTGTACTCCTGCCTGGGCAACAGAGTGAGACTTGCCTCAAAAAAAAAAAAAAAAAAAGAGAGAGAGAGAGAGAGGGAGAGATAAAAGGGGATAACCAAAGTAACATGTGTGGCTCCATACACATTTCTATAAACAAGTTATTCATTGTTGCCTAGAAACCATCGCAAATTTTTGTAGGAAAACATCACCACTGGTTTCATACCAACTGTTCTGAGGCCACAAGTTTAAGAAACTTTTTGATGAAGTCAATGAGTCCTTGGATGGTTCGTGTTCGCTCTACTGCCCACTTCTTTGTTTTCATAATAGGAGTATCTCCCACAGCCTTCAGCAAAATGTCAACTGTAAAAGAAGAAAAAAATTTACTGACAATTACACTGGAATATCTAAAGAGAATGGAATATAAAAGAAGTCAGAAATATTTAATCTACATCCATCTTATGTATTTATGATACTAAAGATATGTCAGAGATGTAAAAATGTTAGATTCTTTTTCATCTTTTTTTTGAAACTACAAAGTTTTCCTAACAGGACTAATTTTTAAAGTGCATTTTATTTTAACAGGCATTCCAAAAAGAAGAAATACAAATAATCAACAAATAAACAAAAGTTCAAAAAAGCAAAGTAAAATAATGTCATTTCCCTTTTCACCCACCAAACTAGTAAAAATTAGAATAATTAACAGTGTAGATGATACTACTATTGATAATATGAAATAGTATACACTTTATGGGTATACAATATGGCATGCAATATGCTAATACAGATCCCAAAGAAGGTATACTTTGATTCAACAGTACTTCTAGGAATCTAGTCTAAGAAAATATGAGATGTGTAAAAATTCACTTAAAAAGATTTCACCTCCATTTAAGCATTTATTTTTATATGAAACACTGTAAACCTGAATATCCAGCAAGGATATTTGGAGGTGACTGATTAAAAGATATTATACTCAATGATAGAATGTAGTAAACAGCACACACTTTAAACTGCCTGGGGTTCAAATCCTGGCTTTGCCACTTGCTGGGTATGTATGTGGATAATTTAATCTCTCTATGCCACATTTTCTTCATTTGTAAAATGAGGATACTAGCACCTACTCCACTGGGTTGTTGTGAGGAATTAACACATGTTTATAACAGTATCCAGCATACATAACTCATACTTAACTAACCTTAAGATTAAACAGCCTTTATAAAAACACATTATAAAAGCATATTTAATGGCAGAGGAAGTTAGAAAAATGTTCTAAACACAAAACAACATGTATAATATGATCTCAATTTCATTTAAACCATCATAAACACATTCACATAAATATTGAAGCATATGCACCACAACGTTATTTCTCAGTAGTGACATTATAGGCAATGATTACTTTGTTTTACTTATGCTTTTTGTAACTACCAAATTTTCTACAAAAGACCTTTTAATAAAGGAAAGCATTAAGTTTTAACAATAAAATAGAACCAAAGGACAAAAAGAAGTTGCAAAAAGGGAAATGTTAAGGTTTCAATGATCCAAAATACAGATATGCAAAATCAGAGCCTATGAATATGTCTCTTGAGTAAAGTTATTTTGCTTTAAAAAAAAAAAAAAAATCTGGCAGGGCAGTGGTTCACTTCTGTAGTCCCAGCACTCTGGGAGGCAGGGGTGGGTGGATCTCCTGATGTCAGGAGTTCAAGACCAGGCTGGTCAGCATGGTGAAACCCCCTCTCTACTAAATAAAAAAAATTAGCCAGGCATGGTGGTGCATGCCTGTAATCCCAGCTACTCGGGAGGCTGAGACAGGAAAATCGCTTGAACCCTGGAGGCAGAGGTTGCAGTGAGCAGAGATCGTGATGCTGTCTCCAGCCTGGCGACAGAGCAAGATTCCTCGTCCAAAAAAAAAAAAGGACAAAAAAGCCATCTGCAATCCAAGGCTAGACACATTGAAAGCAAAATAGTGTATTGCTGCCCCCTAAAGTTAAGTCTATTCTATTACACCCTTCTTGCTCCATTCTTTTGGTATCGTTGTGGCCGAATGGTATGAGAGGTCAATATTAAAGTTTACCCCTGGAATCTAGAACATATGCTGCACACACACTATTTTCCTGCTAAAGAACTACTTAACCATCCTAGGTCCAGTTATCTTGGGAATAGGAAGGAATCTGGCGATAACGAGGATTTTGATTAGCTTGTCTTTCTTTCTTTTTTTTTTTTTTTTTTTTTGAGATGGAGTTTCGCTCTTGTTATCCAGGCTGGAGTGCAATGGCGCAATCTCGGCTCACCGCAACCTCCGCCTCCTGGGTTCAGGTAATTCTCCTGCCTCAGCCTCCTGAATAGCTGGGAATACAGGCATGAGCCACCATGCCCAGCTAATTTTTTGTATTTTTAGTAGAGACGTGGTTTCACCATGTTGACCAGGATGGTCTCGATCTCTTGACCTCGTGATCCACCCGCCTCGGCCTCCCAAAGTGCTGGGATTACAGGCTTGAGCCACCAGGCCGGGCCTACCTTGTCTTTCATACCTCCCTTCTCGCTGCTCCCTCAATCCCCTGGGGCTACCAGTAAATCAATTAATGCAATTAAACATTTCCAGAAAGTGAAGCATAAAATATTATGAGTTATGCTACCTAAGGAAGAAGTATGAGACAGTGAGAAACTGGATAAGGAAAATAATTTAATTATAGCTGCCCTCTTTTTAAAGGTGATTTGCTTTAGTCCTGAACTCCAGATACACATTAGAATCAACTAGGGGAACAATTACTCCCCAGGTAACCTAACGGACTGCCAGTGCCACAACCTTGGTCTGTTCAACCATCTTTATTCTGTAGATTAAAACAAAGGCTGAGCATACAAAACAGTTAAGCTGCTTTCAACGGATTATCCTCAACAAATGATGACTACCCTCAAAGTAAGAATTCGGTAGTCAGAAACTAAGTTTTATATTGGAGAGACAAATTCAAATGCTAACAAGAGCCAGAAAAGAAAAATCCGATCCTTAAATGACGGTTCAATTTGCAAAAAAACATTGCCCAGACCAAAGAGACTATGCCCTCGAGCAATATTTACATCGTAAATCACTGGTTTTTTTAGCTTCTGTTTTACACAGCTATCATCAGGGTCAAGTAACAAGCTTTTGACTAAGACTGTTAGACCTTAAAATGAATCTCGGAAAGTCTGCTCTTGCCTATAGCAAACTGGAAGAAAAAAAATGCAACAAAAACCTGTAAAACCCGCGGAATTCTTTTGAATAAAGATTCTAGTGGTTATCCACAGAAATAATCACAGTGTACCACGTGGAAATGGCAGTATGATTTAAAGGGGAATGGGGGGCAGTCTTGGGAGAGAATTCTCCTCAGCAGCAGAAATTGAAGTTCGATGAAAACGCAATGATACCACTGTCTTTTTTTTTTTTTTTTTTTTTTTGCGACGGAGTTTCGCTCTTACTGTCCAGGCAGGAGTGCAATGGCGCGACCTCGGCTCACGGAAACCTCCGCCTCCCCGATTCCAGCGATTCTCCTGCCTCCGCCTCCCCAGTAGCTGCGTTTACCGGCGCGCGACATCATGCCCAGCTAATTTTTGTATTTTTAGTAGAGACAGTTTCACCATGTTGGTCAGGCTGGTCTCGAACTCTTGACCTCCAGTGTTCCACCTCCCCCCTACCCCCGGCCTCCCAGGCGATTACAGGCGTGAGCTACTGCTCCCGGCCAGAGACCACAGTCATCTTAAGATTGTGAACTGGGAAAACTAGTCTAGGACAAAATCAGCCTCTCTGCATCGAAGATGTTTACATGCTGCTTTTCTCATAGGCAACTCTAACTCTACAGAGAGTGCTTTAGAACACGTAACCTTAGCAATCTCTGTATTTTACAAAGTCGAACTAACTGTCAAGCAATAAAAGGTTGAGGATAGCTGGGTCAGGCAATGAAATAACTCACAAAGGTTCCAAAATGTGTTTCTTAAAAAGGTAACATCCATGCCTTCAGTTTTTCCTTAGCAGTCATTATGCCTAAGAATTCCGTTTTGGGTTTATGGCGTGAATTCACAACGAATTGGGAGGGGGAAAACAGTATATGCGAGTAACTCGGAAGGCGTGAATTCGAACCCAGCCGTTGCCAATGACCAACCCTACCACCTCAAAACATTAATCAAATAATTAGCTCCTGTGTTAAGTACATGGAATTACCGAGACCCCCACTGAGCTCCCGCCCTCCTTCACAGAGCTCGCTGTCCGGCCAACTCAGAATACACTATAAAAAGAGGTGTGGCATCCAAGTATCCCGCGCTACACATATGGAAAGAGACGGTATTTTAACACTCAACTCAAAGGTCTTGAAAATCAAAAGTACACTTCTTTCCTTCTGATAAGGCTGGTCAAAGTGCACGTCCAGGACTAGTGCTCCTCTAAATTTTGTTTCTTTACTGGCCGCCACCCCTAGTCTGATGCAATCTGAACCTCCCGCCTCTCTGCCCGGAAATAAACTTGTTACTTTTTTTCTTGGTGTCGCCAGCAGGTTCCTCTGTTCCCGGGGAAACTGCTGCGGAAGAAGGGGGTTCCGGAGTGGTTATTTCTGGGGAGACCTCCGCTAGACCTTCGCCTGCAGCAGCACTTGAGGGAGGAAGCTGAAACACAGACTGCGGCTCCTCCGCCATCTTGCTAGGAGAGACTAGAGAGCGGAAGTAGCGACTGAGCGCAAGCAATGGGCGTGCTTTTCTCCAGGGAGCGACCCAAAGGAGGCGCCAGAGTAGGGGGACCCAATTCCACAGTGAAAGTTGGAATTGCCGGTTAGTCCTTCAAATCCAAGCTATGGCAGACTCTCATCGTTAGTAACGCAATACGTGTTTCTCTGCGACAACAGACCTCGGGAGAGGAGCGTGGGCAACGTGCGCATGCTCGGTCGAGTGAGCAGACACCCCTTAGGCAACTGGCTCGGAACCAGAATTGTTTCCGCTTTCTTCAGTACCTGCCCCGCCTAGGCCCCGCCCCTCTTGCCCCGCCCAGCTGCTTGAGAGAGCGCGCGCGCCCGCGCGCGCGGGAGGGGGCGGGTGGGGAAGGATTGCCGGCGAGATTACTAGGCGAGGCTCGCGCGCCCGCCCCCGCCCTGGCCCCCAGTGCCTACCCGGTCGGCCCGGCACAGCCATGATCAAGGCGATCCTAATCTTCAATAACCACGGGAAACCGCGGCTCTCCAAGTTCTACCAGCCCTACGTGAGTATCCAGCTGCAGCCGATCATGTCGATGGGGAGTCGTTGGCGACGGGCAGCGCCCAGCTCGGCTTCCTCAGAGCGACCCCCTCCGGCGCGCTGCGGCCCTTCTCGCGCCCAGGCCGCTTGGCGCTCGCCGGCTGTCAGCCTCCCGGTGGGTGTGGACTGGGTGCCCACCTCCTTGCCGAGCGGTTAGCCTCCGACGTGGCTTTGCCCGGGCGGTTCCTTCGCCCGTCGGTGGGCTGCGTGCTTTCTCGGCTGCGCGGGCGAGGCCCTGGAGACTTCCCGGTGCCAGGGCCTCGCCGGCCGGGCAGCCGCAGCCCACCTGCACTCCGAGCTCTGCGCCCTGGCCCCAATAGCCCACCCTGCGCGGCTGCCTTCCTGCCGCCAGCGGCTGCGGTTAGCCCAGGAGGAGGAAGACGGCGCGGAGCTCGTTCTTCTCGCCCCCTCCCCCGACTCCCAGCCTTTCCAGGTGGACTTCTGTTTTGTGAACAGATGGGCTACTGTTTTTCACTGTAATCCTCTCATAGCGCAGGAACTTTGGCTTCCTGCGTTTGATAACTGCACGCTTTGTACAGTCTCTCTTTCGGTAAGTGACCGACTGCCCAGTGTGACTTTCAGGTGTCTCCTTATTAAAAAGGAAGGTAAGTGAGGACCTAATATTTTTATCAGACTTTTTTACCAGCTGGCTGCAAATTATTTACTCTCTAAATAACCGGCGACGTGTGCAGTTGACAGATTGGAACTGTGGTTCTATACCTAGAAGTTGTGATTTCAGCTTGTGATTTGGCATTTTTCCACCTATGGGAATTTGTCCTCATTTATAGTTTTTTTTTTTCTGTTTATGAAGAATAGTAGCATTTGCAGGACTTTTCTTTTAGAAGTGTGAATACTGTTTAGTATGGACAAATGCAGGAGGCATTAAGGTAGTAGAGATAAGTGATTTATTAATGATCAAGGAAGAGGTTTATAGACTTTTCTGCTTATCTGAGGGCAAAATTCACAGCTGAAACACACAAAATTGGGCTCCCAGTGGTAGGATTAATGTGAAGCATAACTATTGTGTGGTATTGTCGCACTTTGCTTATGGCCAGAAATGAGCTTTCAATTTTGAAATTGTGCAAAGGCTAACACTTTTATGCAGATGAGTCCCAGATGGAAATCAATCTTGCCATTAAAAAGTAAATGTGAAAATGTCAGTTTGCCTAAAATGATAATACAGTCTGTGGAGGTGTTAGTTGAAGTGAGAAATCTTGAGCATATTCTTCATTTTTTTTGAAGTTGTTTTGCTTTTGCTAGCAATGAAGAGTATTTTCAGCTACTCCTGTGTGATTTTAATTTAGTATAACTTAAATATAATGGTTTGTTTAAAAATTCTACATCATTCTTTAATCCAGGTTAAATTCTAGCTGATTCTCCCGAGTGAAAAAAATGCTGTTAATTTTACCTATTTGTTAAAATATAGTAATGGCCTTTATTGAAGGAATCTTTGTCATAACCATTTTGCCAGTGTCATCCATTTGCAGTGTAAAAGAAGTATGTTGCAATAGTAAAACAATTCAGAAAATTATTTTTTCCATATCTAAACTTAAGCAATATTCAAAATAGTGAGTTTCCTGGCTAATCTATATAATCAGTATATACTACTCCTGTAGGGTAGAATTTATCTACTGAAAAGTGCATTTAATTTAGAAACTCAGGAATCCATCTTTCCCTTGTCCAAAAGTGGGAACAGAAATATTCTTTACCAGCACTCACTAGGTAACAGTGACAGTTAATGTGAGAAGTGGCAGTTCTGGCAGCAGTGGTGGCATTTTTGGCCATTGTATGAGTGATGTTGCTCCTGGGGGCTGGTAGCTAGAAGATATAAAAAGTAGAATCCTGGTGATCACTAGCCATGTATAAGTGGGGTAAGAGAAGTTGTTTCTGTGTATTGGGTTTCTATAAATTGGGTTTTGCTGAGTGTGTATTTTTGTCTTTCAGGAATAATTTAAGATTATTTATTTACATATTTGCTTCCTCCACTAGACCATAACCTATTTGAGGGCAGATATTTTTTTCATTCATTGATTCCACGAGTTTGTCAACGGACATTTATTTCATGCCTACCATGTACAGTCACTATTTTAAAATCTGGTGATGAACGGATAACTTTCTCTCTTGTAGGAGAAACATAGACAGAGCTACTAAGGAGTAGGCTATATTATAGCATGCCAGCTAGTAGTAAGTATTGTGGAAAAAAATAAAACAGGGAAGAGTCTTAGAGAGCAAAGGGGGTAAGAAAGGCAGCCTTGCAGAGATCTGGGCGAAGAGCATCCCAGGTAGAAGGAGCAACAAAACAAATGCAAAAGCCCTGAGGAGAGAGCCTGTTTGAACAACTCCAAGAACTTCTACACAGCAAGAGCAGACTGTTTAAGGGAACATTAGTTGGAAGTGTCTATTTGTGTAGGGTGTTACTCTGTTCTTGCTGCCTGGAATGTCCTTCCTTTCCATTGCCACATGTCCCAATTCAACCTCTTGTCCTAGGCCCAGCACAAATGTCACGTAAACATTCTGTGAAGCCTTTCATCTTGCTCAAAAGCTCCTCTTGGTTTTTAGATTTTGTTTTTTATCTTTGTTATGGAACAATATTCTCATTCACAGCCTGTAATTCCTCAGGGCAGCCATGGTATAGAATCCTTGAAGGAAGGTATCAGATTTTGGATATGTTTGTGTCATTCTCAGCAGTCAACACTGAGTCTTGAACATAGAAAACTCTAAATTTTTGCTGAATGAATTTATTTAGAATCTCCTCTCTTGGGATAGAGTTTGGATTAGAATTGACTTCTTGAATTTTCTTCTATCTCTTAAAATGTAGTCCTTTACTAACTAGAGGCTTTAAGAACCCCTGCCTTTAGCACAGAAGTAATGATGGAATACCTGTTACTCAGCTGTTTCTGTTTTAAGGAGCTCTCTAAGAAGTATATGTCCAATAAAAATAACAATTTTGAGTTTAATTTATTAAACAATATCTAGGGGTTTGATTGAGCTAACGATTCCATACTCTGGCAGGATGCTGAGATTTGAGTCCAAGAGTAATGGTTTAACACTGAGCAATTTGCAGATTGTTTAACCGTTTGCCAACAAGTTTATCCTACTGCATTTCATTTTCATTCCTCATTTATCTCCCTTATAACAACTTATACATTCATCTCTGCCCTTTAACAGTACACATTTCCATTTCATGTTGTAATAGATTTTTAGATTCGATTGTGGCTCCAAGCTGTTATGTGTGAGAAATATGAAGTTACACACCTGTTTTGCTAAACGGAAGTTTTAGTTCATTCTGCTAGAGTCAGACATTAAGAATTCAAGAGTGGGCCAGGCGCCATGGCTCATGCCTGTAATCTCAGCACTTTGGGAGCTGAGGCAGGATCACCTGATGTCAGCAGTTCAAGACCAGCCTGACCAACATGGTGAAACCCTGTCTCTACTAAAAGTACAACAATTAGCCAGGCATGGTAGGGCATGCCTGCAGTTGCAGCTACTAGGGAGGCTGAGGTAGGAGAATCACTTGAACCTAAGGAGGTGGAGGCTGCATTGAGCCAAGATCATGCCACTGCACTCCAGCCTGGGTGACAGAGCGAGACTCTATCTCAAAAACAAAAAAAAGAAACATCTGAAAAAAAATAAAGAATTCAAATATGGCCTCAGAATACATCCCTTTTTGTTTTTGCCTTCTATATCCTTGGTCTATGACTGCATAAATTCAAATGTTTTTCTTGGTTTATCTTTTTAGATTGATGCTTAGCGACAATGACTTGGCAACAGTAACCTTTAGTCTTTTGATATTTGCCTGATAGTATTTGTGTATTACGGTAAATAACTAATGAGACTTATATTTTATAAACCAAATATATTTTTATATAGCTATCAAACGAAAAAATCCCCTGGCTTCTGATTCCATAGTGTATCCTCTGGTGAATTACTTTAAAATTTTTTTCTTTTTCTATAGAGATAAGGTCTCACTATGTTGCTTAGGCTGGTCTTAACCTCCTGACCTCAAACAGTCCTCTCAGTTTGGCCTCCCAAAGTGCTGGGATTACAGATCTGAGCTACCATGCCTGGCCTGTGAATTACTTTTATAAAGTAGAAATGTCTTTCTTTTGTATGAATTATGTTAGTTGTTTCTGCAGATGTAAATTACTGTGTATGCATGTGTGCATACACACCACACACATATGAAGTACAAGCAGAAAAATTTTCAAATTAACATATATGAGTTACCTCAATTTTTTAATAAACTGTGTTTGATTAAACTGTTAACCAAGTGCAAGTCTTAGGAAGAACTCTAAGATTCTTCTTTCCTTTTTTTTTTAATTTAACATAAAATACAAAGTATTGAAAGTATACATAACTTTTTTAAAAAAAAAAAAATCCCTTAAAAAGATCCATCCATGTTTACTGATGTCTTTTTTTAGTGACTATTAAGACATTGTGGCAGATGGGATAATTAAACTAATGCCTGTGATCA